TGTGTGTCCCACATTTTGTCCCGCACTTTCAACTCGGGAACTACAAAAGCTAGGCGGCTGAAATTTCGGTACAGTGTTCCTCGCCAACGGGTAACACGGCAAATTTAAATTCAGCCTTCCCGTACCCGTGGGTAACACGTACGACCCCGTGAAAGTTTTTTACGGGTAGATTAATATCTCGGGAATCGCGGAGTCTAGCAGGCTGAAATTTTTTATTTAATGACCCTCTACCCACGCTCAACCTTGCCCATTCCAATTCAGCCTTCCCGTGCCCGCGGGTAACATGTACGGCCCCGTGAAATTTTTTTACGGGTAAATTTGTATCTCGGGAACCACGGAGTCTAGAAGGCTGAAATTTTAGGGTAATGACCCCCCGCCCACACTCGACTCTGCTTATTCAACTTCAGCGTTCCCGCGCTTTTGAGTATTACTTACGGCCTCGTGAAAATTTTGGCGGGTAGACTATTAACTCGAGAGTCACGGAAAGATATTCGCCCTTCAAGGCTTCGAATTCAGCTTTCATGCGCTGGTGCGTGAAATTTTTAACTGTTTTCCAATGTTTGAACTGTTTCTGCATAGACTAAAGTACAAAGCTGTGAAAATCATTAATAGGCAATCGTTCGATGGGCTGAATTGCACAAAACGCATGACCGGACCGGCTAGTCTGGTGCGCGCTGCCATTTATTTATGGAGAGACCCTGACTTTTGCAGCTCTGGTTCCTGTGTTGCTGTAGGGGGCGGGTGGTGGACTCTTTGCCTAATCTCCCCCACTCTCCTTTCTGCCCCTACCCCCTTGATTCACCTATGAAGTCTGTAAATTCAAAACCTTTTTTCTGTCACGCCTGGGTCTCAATAATGCCATCCTGAAAGTTTCTGCGGGAAAAATTACTAACTCATGAGTCATGAAGATAAAAAGCTGAAATTTTGGAGGAATGTGACCTCGCAGAATTAAATTCAGCTTTCATTTACTTTTGGATCTCTTGTGCGGCCCCGCGAAAGTTCTGGTGAAAAAAATTGTTGTGTTGGGAACTAGAAGAGCTATGAGGCTGAAACTTCAGGGAGATTTCTTCTGAGTGCAGATACCTCACAAACCCAAGTTTAGCTCTCAGGTATGCAGAGGCCTTACGTGCGGCCACGTGAGGATTTTGATGCGAAAGTCACTAGCTCGGAAACCGAAAAAATGAGAGGTTGAAATTTGGGGGGATGTTTTCCACCCATTTTTTCAAATTCAGCTTTCACGTACCGGCACGTGAAATTTTCAGTGGGAAATTCTTCAGTTTAGGAGCCAGGCAGCATTTCTACTATTTTCCCATATACAAAAGTTAGTTATGTTTTTAGTAGATAAACGTCCGTTGGACGGAACTGCACAAAACGCATGATATCATCGGTTACCCTGGTGTATGCCGTTATTTTAACTGTGATAGCAAAAAATGGTTTTGGCTGCTGCATTTTTCTTCATCGGTTCTCAGAAACATGTCGGCTATATTCGTAATGTGTTTTTAAACATTTTGCTGCAAATTTTTTAACGAGACCTGATCGATTGCAGCTCTGTTGATAACAGTGTGTTAAAAGTTGCAGGCGGTGTATATGAATTTCTGT